AGAGAGAGAGACATTAGGTGATTCTGGATGTAAGTAATCAAATAAACGGGCAGTTTGCAGTTATTCCTGGGAAGTATCTCCTCATCTGAATTTACAGCAAAAAAGGAACATCACTCAATAAGTAAGAAACTCCACAAACTGAATAAGCAATGGAAACCAATCTTTAAAGTCAAAGCAACAGAGGCAGAATCCAGAAGCAATTATTTTTGGTTTAAGAAAGAAAACTCTTGGGACTCTGCCAACACTAGTGAGAAGTCAACACAAGACTCTGGGCAGGTGAACTACAGCTGTGGGCAGCAGCAGGGGAGGACTGTGGAGCACCCATTATCTAATACACAATGGTGAGCAGGAGCCTTGTGAATCTGGCTCTGTCCCTGGCTACTGTATGACCCTGGGCAAGTTTGTGAACCTCTCAGTGCCTCAGGGTTCATATCTATAAAACAAGTCACATGCATGGTGCCAGGCACGCAGTAAGAAGCCAATAAACACAAGCTTCTGCTTATCTAGTAACACAGGCAGAGAATTGGTGGTACGTAAGGCACATTATCACAAACACCCATGACCTTTGCTCTTGGTGCCTGGCACACAGTGGGCATTGATGGTTTTTTACTGAATAAACAAATGGCAAAGTGGTTGATAGGCTTTTGTTCAAGGAGAAACACTAGAATGCTTAAGCAGAAGTAAGGCTTAGAGGTCAAGAGTACTGGCTAGCCCAGTAAGCTCTTTAATTCAACATTCTATTTCAATCATTGTATTACACACAACTACTGTGCGTTCATAATAATCAGTATAGGGCATTGAAAATCATTTGTGTCAGGAATTATCGATGATTAAATTATATTAAATGGCATTTAAGATCAAACATATTGTACATTACCATATTCAAATGCCTTAAACACTGGAAATTGCAGGTGAACATAAATTTGATGATAAATTAACTGGTGTAGACTTCTCGACAGCAACACTTTGTTCACACCTCTGCACCCACACAGTATTGTTACCCAATCACATCTCCATTTCCCACTGACTGCGAACACTTCTTATGCCTTGTGCTTTTGTATCCCCAGTGCCTGAGGTTAATTCATGCTCAGTAAATACTTGCCAAATAAAAACAGTCACTGTGTGTTTCATGACCATGCCAGATTATAGTTTTAGTCTATACAGATTTCAACGTTTTAAAATATGGTACACTTTAAGAAAGTCATACCTTAGGTAAAATTTTAGAATGATAATAGAATCTAGTTTGAACTGGAAGCAGGATCTGAAAAGTCCTTTTTAATTTACAAAGTTTCTAACAATCAGATATAAGCCATTGCTTTTATATTAACTATTAAAGGCTTACACTCCTGGTGTATCTGCAGATGTTTCATCATACTGTGCTATACCATTCCTGTACCATGGATGCTGGTACCTGCTTTAAGGAAAGGCAGGAAGAAAAAAGAACAGGAAATATTAGGAAAAATGAGGTTAAAAAAATGACTTCTGATCCCTCCTGTTAACGTATTAGGAAAATATTCGGCTCAGGTACCCACTTTGGACTCATGTCAGAAAGAAAACAGAATCAAAAAGGAAGCCAGACTGTCATCTCCTAGACTCTTACACAAATGATAGAGAGAATGGCCAAAGGACTTCCCTTGCTGGGAAGCTAGGACTACAGGCACTAGCCATGATGCCCAGCTAGATCTTCTATTCTTTTAGTAGAGATGGGAATCTCATTCTTGCTCAGGCTGGTCTCCAACTCCTGAACTCAAGCAGTCCACCTGCTTTGGCCTCCCAGAGTGCTAGGATTATAGGCATAAGCCAGAGAACCCAGCCCTTGGTTTAATTATATAACATTTTCTTGAACTGCTGGCATTTGCTACTTACTGGTTGTAAGCATTCAGAAGCAAGTGATAAAACAAGCAAGTATAAAAACAATTTTTCAATGTGCTTAGCTTGCTAGAGCTTTTTATGTTTTTCAGTGGTCTTGTTTGTAGGCATAATTTTGGAATTGCCTAAATACCATGTATATAGCCTGTTGTGTTAGAAAAAACTTTAACCATGTACATGGATTGCTTTTATTTAAAAATTCAAGAAAAAGATGAAAGAAATATTTTCACACCCCACAAATGGACATGAACGTCTTCTGTTTCAGCTGGGCTCCCATAAACTTCCTTCAATTTGTTGGTATCATCTGCCTTATGATGTCCAATGTATGGCTCTTGAGTGGGCAGTAAGCTCGCAGAAGCCAGTCTTTAAAGAACTTATAATTGAACTGGGGGTGACATATCTTGACATTTGGGGAAGGTATTTAGTTTTTGTTTGTTTTTTAAGACAGAGTCTTGCTCTGTCACCTGGGCTAGAGTTTCACGGTGTCAGCCTAGCTCACAGCAATCTTAAACTCCTGGGCTCAAGCAGTCCTTCTGCCTCAGCCTTCCAGGTAGCTGGGACTACAGGTCCTGCCACCATGCTTGGATAATTTTTTTTATTTTTAGAAGAGACAGGGTGGCACTTTTGCTCAGGCTGGTCTTGAACTCCCGAGTTTAAGCAATCCTCCTCCCTCAGCTTTCAGAGTGCTAGGATTACAGGTGTGAGACACCACACCTGGACTAAGAGAATGTATCTAAATTGCTAACTGGGCCCTGTGTTTTTAATATCTATTTTGTATTTAGGTATATAGCATGTGGGAAACTAATTATTATTATTATTATTTTTTGAGACAGAGCCTCAAGTTGTCCCCCTGGTTAGAGTGCTGTGACATCACAGCTCACAGCAACCTCCAACTCCTGGGCTCAAGTGAGTCTCCTGCCTCAGTCTCCCAAGTAGCTGGGACCACAGGTGCCCACCACAATGCCCAGCTATTTTTTGGTTCCAGCCATCACTGTTGTTTGGCGGGCCTGGGCTGAATTCGAACCCGCCACCTTAGGTGTATGTGGCTGGCGCCTTAGCCACTTGAGTCACAGGTGCTGAGCTGGAAACTAATTATTTTAAAAGCAAAAAGAAACAAATTGACCATGACTTTGTCCATTTCTCATATCAATATCACTAGTGTAAAATATGCTAATGATGAAAACTGCCATCTCACTACAAATTTCAATGTTCTTTTTTTATTAACGTATGTATAAACCACAAAACATGATCACCTGTTTTAAAAAAAGAGCTTTTTTTTTTTTTTACAATTTCAGAATAAGGAACTTTGGCTTTTTATTCCTTTTAAGAGTTTCTGTAGTTGACTATTTTTATCTTACCATTCTCTTTGGATCTGTATTTTCTTGGTGCCTCAGAGATACAGCAAGGATAGAGGGTCCTCATTTAAGAAACATTTCCTAATGTTACATGTCAAAAGCTAATACTTAATACAGCAACCTCAATTCTCATTAAGAATAATCTGGTTTAATACAAGTCTATAAATAAATTTGTTCTTTCTCCTCAAAAAACACTTACTAAACTTTATAAGAAGTATAGGTTTAAAAAATGTACCAAGCGCAGTGAAAGCACTGTTATTTCGCCCCTATTAACACACGGTGTTCAAGCACTCCAGCAGCATGCCTGTGCCCATGTTGGGTGTTCCATTAGCACTCTGGCAAGCAGTCTTCTTAATCACTCTTTTCTTCTCCTTGATAGTGCCTGTACTCTGGCTTCAGCTCCCACGTGTTTTTGTGGATCCCTTTTACATTCTGTACACCAATTTCTTTCAAGATTTCCTTCAGGTATCCCTAAACAAACAAACAAACAAACAAAACCCCAAACAGATGAGATTATGAAGGGAGAAAACAAAATTTTAAATAAGTTATATGCTAAAGCATGGCATCCTAGCTCACAGCAACCTCAAACTCTTGGGCTCAAGCAATCCACATGCCTCTGCTTCCCAAGTAGCTGGGACTACCACAAAGCTCAGCTATTTTTTAGAGATAAGGCTAGTCTCAAACTCCTGAGTTCAAACAATCCACTCTCCTCGGCCTCCCAGCCTCCTGGAATGCTAGGATTATAGGGATGAGCATCACCTAGGTTGGAAGTCTTGAATAACTTGAAAAAAAAAAGTCTAGATGAAAATACACTGGAAAATTACCGGTGCTTAAATGCATCAACATGACACAGTATACGAGTGTAATCTGCCCTTGAGTTTCACAGACTCAAACTCAGGAGCATAGCATATATTAAAAATGACAAGTATTACTGCTTCTTGGCCTTTTAGCTAACATCAAGTGTAGTATCTATTCTTACCAGTTTAATATGTGATATGTCCTAAAAAAAATTAAAAAATGACACATATTTTTGAAATGATAATATTTAATGAAGTTCTAAGGTGAGTTCTCAAACTTGCTCTTAGGATACTTATTTTTCTTGTGTAATAAGGAAGGTTATTATTTGTATTTACTATTGCTTGTATCTTGGCCAAACTTGCAAACACAGGGTAAGAAGTAATAAGTAATGATAACAGATGCTACAAACCACGGGGGCTGCGGCTTTCTTGGGCTTGGCTCTCCCAAAGGAAAGAGTCAGTACTGTGGTATTTTAGGTCCCTAAGAATTCTACAGACATTGACCAAATGATTACTATATTCACAGAAATGATGGCGACATTAAGTGTGCCTAAACCCCACTTTTGCTTGCCAATGCTCAAGGCCCCAAAAGCATCCCGCTATAAGCTGGCCAATATAAATTACAGTATCTTTTCTTGAAGAAAGAAAAGTTAATTATTTAAAAGTGATCTTTTCTTGCTGCAGAATGAATCAATCCAACAATGGATTGTGTACGTAATTTCAGTGTGTATGCTTCAATGAGGCAATTATAGTATCATGACTCATTACTTTTTTTTGAGACAGAGTCTCACTATGTTGCCCTCAGTAGAGTGCTGTTGCATCACAGCTCACAGCAACCTTAAACTCTTGGACTTAATTGATTCTCTTGTCTCAGCCTCCCTAGTAGCTGGAGTACAGGTGCCTGCCACAACATTTGGCTATTTTTTGTTGTTGTTGTTGTTTTAGTTGTCATTGTTGTTTGCAGGCCTGGGCTGGGTTTGAACCCGCCAGTCCCTGTGTATGTTGGCTGGCACCAAACCAGTGTATGTTGGCTGGCACCAAACCACTGTGCTATAGGCACTGAGCCGGAAGATGTAAATTTTAAAAATTAAATTTTAAAAATTAATTGAAATGAGGCACTGATAAGAAAAATTATTCAGAGGTTATAGTCGAGATAATATTTAAGGAACACCCCTTCTTGAGTGTGGTACTAGACTGTCTACATGAAAACCTCACAGGAAGCTTATTAACTAAGCTTCATCTACTAGGTCTACTAAAACAAAATCTCCTACGTTAGGCCCAGGAATCTGCATTTCAACAAATCTTTAGGTGACTCACTTAACTACACTAAACTTCTATCACATCTGCTTTAAGGTTCTTCCAGCTCTGATATTCTAGAATCTTCGAGTCCCTGATGTGTTGCTTAGTTCTCTTAGCTTCACCACAGCTAGAAATTACGTGTTACTAACAGAATCTAACCCCAGTTAACACCAACAAATACAAGGCGGGGCCGGAGTAGTGGCTCACGCCTGTAATCTTAGCACTCTGGGAGGCCAAGGCAGGCGGACTGCCTAAGCTCAGAAGTTTGAGACCAGCCTGAGCAAGAGTGAAATCCTATCTCTAAAAAAACAGCTGGGCATCATGGCAGGCACCTGTAGTCCCACCTACTTGGAAAGTTGAGGCAAGAGGATGGCTTGAGCCTAAGAGTTTGAGGTTGCTGTGAGTTATGACTCTATAGCACCCTACCCAGGGCAACAAAGTGAGACTCTGCCTCAAAAAAAACCTAAAACAAACAGAAAGAAGCCATTGACCAATATAAGGCTCTACATTTCATAAAGTCCGTTTGGTTAAGGGTAGGTTGTCACCTAGAAACCTAACAGCTGATTAGCACCTCCACATGGGTTCTTTATAAACACCTTGGATGGCTTAGCTCTCCCTTGGGCAGCCTTCCCATCTTAGCAGCCAGGCCCCAGCAGGTGGCAGCAATGGACCAAATGAACCCTGGGTTCGCCTAGGAGGCTTGCCTGCCTCCCACACCTTCTACTGTTGGCTTCACTAGCAGACAGACCCCTGTGAATGAGTAAGCACAAAGGCTTACAAAATCAAGGTAACACGCACATCTGCCATCTGCTACTTCAAATTACATTTAAAAAATGGAACACTGTTCATAAACTACTTTCTAATTGAACAAGATTCATAAATGGGAAATGATGGGTTAGGCACAAATGATTCTCAGTTTAGGTGCCAAGAATGACATCTTTGTAAAATTCCAAAGAACGGCTTATTATGAGAATGGCTAAGATAATGTTGCGCAAACAATCACCCAATTGTGGATGCACTGCAATGGGTCAAAATGAAAACAGCGATTGCCAGGAGCATTTTGATAGCCCAACAGAAAACAGAGTCTTTTAACTTCAAGTCTAGTGTGTCCATTTACAACCTAGGGCCAGTGGTTCTCAACCTTCCTAATGCCACGACCCTTTAATACAGTTCCAGGAAGGTTGAGAACCACTGATCTAGGTACAGAAAAATGAAAAGTCTAAAAAGTGTTAAACTCAAAATACAGTATTAAGAAAGCTGCAGTGTACAAATTCAGTTGCCTTCACATCTAGTCTATTTTGGTAATCTAGTATAATACGTGGATACTGCATAATTTCTTATACACCAAGGTATATCACTCTTTGTTCCTTGCAACAGTAAGAATGGAATGCAATAATCATAGTCTGTTGTCAAATAAAAAATGGGATTAGGGTCACAATGCCTAGCAATGGCATAGATTTTTTTTTTGAGGGGGTGGGATTTTTTAGATTTTTAGGATGTTCCAAATTGCAGCCTAAGACCATTTTACTCCCCCAAAATGGAGGGGCTTGGCAAGGGATTAGGCACAAAGCATTAGCAGAGAAAGTAGGAGTGATGACAGGGAAAATGTCAGGAAATCCCCACGGGGAAGAAGACATGAACAGAGATCACGCCATTCCTCTGTCTAAAACATTGCAGTGGCTTCCCCTCTGGCCTGTCGGTGAAAGTCCACACTCCTTCACAGGCGTCTGCTTGGGTCTGTCTTACCCTTTGGGCTTCATTTCCAATACTTCCTCTTGCACAGACACTTGATCTTTGTGCTTCTGTTTTTTCCACTGGCTGTTTCCTTTCCCTGTAATGTTCATCCCCTCTCCTCAAATCTGAACCCCTCATTATGTAGGGGCAGGTCCACATGCCACTTTCTCAGAGAAACTTCCTAACAACCTTACCCCTTAGACTTATGTTTCATACCACACATACTTTGATGATAACCCTTATTATGCTATATCATAATCCTTCATTTACATGTCTCGCCCGCCTCTTAAACCACGTGTTCCTATTCTAGTGCCTGCCTGCACATCACAGAGGCTTCACCTTCTGATTGAGGCGGAGTGAATAGGGTGTGCTTAAGAGTGACAAGGCAGCTGGAGGACTGTGGGGTGGGGAGCAGAGCACAAAGAAGGTGAGAAAAACAGACAATTTGAATGTCATAAAAACAGACATTTGAATTCTGGTTCATTTTTAGAACCCAAGCAGTGGCCCAGTTTGAGAAACGAAAGTTTACTGATTAAACTGTACTACCCGAATTTAAATGATATTTATAACTAAAATCTGTACCGTAGTGCTACAGTGTTGTTGGAGAGAGACAATGCCAATAAAGAAAGAGATTTTAAAGGTTCTGTCAAGATTAAAAATTACTTGGTAATCTTATCCACCTTTATTTTTCATTTGTGTGTTCACCCAAATATTTATTTCAGCACCTACAATGTTCCAGGTACAATGATACATAGTCATCTTGTCCAAAGTTCGCAGCTGAAGATTAGGGTGGGGGAACAAAGGCAGAGGCCTGTAAGCAGGCAATTATACAGCAACAAGGGCAAATGTGCAGGTATTAGAAGAGCAGAGAAGGGGCACTTAGCCTGAACAAAGAGGTTAGTTCTTTGAGGATGGACAGTTGATTATTGATGTGAACAGTATACAATTCAGTGCCGAGACCAAGAGATACAAGTTCTCCTCCTCTTACTTATCCCAAACATTGTGATTTTCCAATTTAATCCTTTGTCTAACCACCTTTGTATTTTAAACAAAGGATTCTAGAACTGAGCAGATCGCCTTTATGTCACAGAGGATTGGGGCTATTTCTCATTATAAACTATGTGCCACGCTGCAGCACAAGATCTGAATACACTGGCTCTGGTCCAGCAATTCTTCATCAGAGCGATGTGTGGGAGAGAATTTACAGCAAGTCTTAATGCAGGGAAAAAAAGGGATAGAACATCACAGACAGCTCCTTTGGAAGCAAATAGCACAGTGTATACTTGACCAAAGAAGTCGAGTGTTTAGGATGTTGTCTGCATTTGTGGGAGAAAATAAAACTGTGATGCCCCCAAACCAGAAACCTATGTATCAACTTCCTTATTCTTCCCCAAGATTGAGACAAACCTATCTAGAGTCACAGGCACAGTAGCCTATTTTAGTCTTTTTCTCTTCCCTTCCTCCACCCCCTACCATTTCTCATATTCCTATTTTCCTATACTGTTCTGTCAACCAAATAGAGGACTTATCTGCTTGCATTTCAGTGATAAGCATACGTGCACATATATAATAGCAAATCAATTATATCTAAATTCTTCGAAGTTGATTAAAAACATACACCTATGACAGGGAGCTGATCAA